CCCCCCCCCCCCCCCTCCATCGTTCGAATCCAACAGTAGTCATATGACTAACGTAGTTTAGCAGAAAGCGGGTCACAGCAGTGAGTGGGTCACATCACGGACCCTGTAATACATGATCGTCATGCATCTCCGTTGTACCCATGCCTCCCTCCTCCAATGAGCACCGAGTGCTCTTAGCTTTTGCCGCTATGAAGACCAATCCAGCATTGTCTATTCGAGAGGCTGCAAGGCAGTACAACATGTCGAACTCAACACTGCAGCACAGAATGGCTGGTGTCAAAGCACACACAGATACACATAGTCCGCATGCCAAGTTGACAGCAACCGAGGAGAGGGTGGTCATTGAGTATGTGCTGAGGCTGGAGGAGCAGGGGTTTCCAGTGTGAAAGGGAGATTTGGAAGGGATGGCGGATCTATTGCTTGCAAAGAGAGGAGGGTTGAAGGTCGGGGTGGCATGGGCAGACTGGTTCATCCGACGACGACCAGAGATCAAGACTCAGCTCTCCCGTCCCCTTGACTACCAGAGAGCACGGCAGGAAGATCCACAAGTGTACGCTACATGGTTCCGGCTTGTGACCAATATGCAATGTTCAGCCAGGCGATTTCTATAACTTTGATGAGACCAGCTTTGCCATGGGCATGATCAGAGCGACAATGGTTGTGATAAGCAGTGAATGGACAGCCCAGCCAAAGGCTATCCAGCCAGGGAACCGGGAGTGGGCAACAGCTATCTGCTGCATTGCAGCAGATGGGAACCTCCTCCCCCCTTTTCTTTGTGTGCTTGGGTGGCACCACCTTGCAACATGGTATGCGGACAACAACATCCCAGAGGATTGGGTTGTCAAACCCACCAACAAAGGCTGGACAGACAACACTACTGGTCTGGAATGGCTTATGCACTTCAACAAGTGTACTGAAAACCACAGGATTGGTCAATACCGCATGCTGGTCCTCAATGGTCATAGGAGCCATGTCACAGTCGAGTTTAACTAGTATTGCAAGGATCACAATATTGTCCCCCTCTGCCTACTGCCACACTCATCACACTATACTCAGCCTCTCAATGTCAGTGTCTTCGGGCCTTGAAGCAGGCATACTGCAACCAGATCCCTTGGCTCTCACAGTGCGGCATCACAAGCATCACAAAGCCTGACTTCTTTGCCACATTCCACACTGCATTTGCATTGGCATTCACAGTTCAAAATATTAAGAGTGGATTCAGAGGTGCTGGTCTGGTGCCTCTGAATGCACAGGCAGTCATATCAAAGCTCACATTACATCCACAGAAGCCTACACTTCTGCCAGTTGATGAAGAACTGGAGCAGCCATGGGTCTCGCAAACACCAAAGACCACAGCAGAGACTGCCTCCCAAGCAACACTGATCAAGAACAGGATTGCCCAGCATCAGGGGAGCTCACCTACCTCAATCTATGCATCAATTAACTAGCTTGCAAAGCATGCCATTGAGCAAGACCATTGCATGACACTCTTGACTGGACAAGTGCAGCTTCTTGAAGAGACAGTTGACCACCTTTCCAGATGTTGCAGGATCAAGAATGTCTGTCTCCAGGACTCTGGAGTACTTACTGGTGCACAAGCCAATGAGCTCTTGGCAGAGTGTGCTGCAAAATCATGGACAGGTGAAGAGCATGAAACAACAAAGAATGGTTGAAGGCAAATACCTGCTTGGTTAGGTGTCATCACATAATCATGTCAGTTCATCAGCAACCCAGGGTCCATTCACAGCTGGAAAGCTGAAGTGCACCTGACCCAGAAAGTATGGAATGATAATCAATTACACTCAATTATGGGGTGTGGCTATGCAGAAGACCCCAGGCACCAGGGCATTCCATCCCTGTCATTGCTGGCAGCATATAGCACTTTTTTCAAACACCAACAGCATGGGCAAGGTAAAGGGCAGCACACAGGTATACTGCTTTCCCTAACACCACAACAGCACTGCTAATGATATTTATAGTCTCTGAAGAAGAAAATTCTGCAGCCAGAGAGTCCAATCGTTTTCCAGCCACTAAAGAAGAATGTTTTGCTGGGAGAGGGTCTGATAATTAGGAGTTTGAAGCAGCAGGGAGCTTTTGTGATTAAAGAGGTGTGGAGGAATGAAAGAGAAAGTATGTCCCTATTCTCACTACTATTTTCTCTGTCACTAAGTCTTATATAGTCACTGATTTTTTTCTGAAGATCATCAAGGCAAAAGTGAAGAAACTAAAAGAAGAAAAGCTTAAGGAGGGGCCTGGGCCATCACTTGAGAATCCTATGATTATTGAATAAGTCTGATTAAAGAATGCATAAGTACCTGATTATGTTTATTATTATGCCAAAATACTTTTATCCCAAAAAGGCAAGTATATATTTGTGAGGGCAACACAATCCTAGCAAAGCAATGATTGTGTTTCCAAACAGGTGAGACCAAGAGCACATGTACAAGCAGAGTGAGTGCAGGTGCAAATAGGGCAAGTAACCTCAAACCCAATCAAGTAGATAGTATGCAAAGGGCTAAACATCACATTCACCAATACACAAGCAAGTTCAAGTCAAGCTAGCTGTGATTTGTGTGAATCACAATATGAGGAATGCTTCAGATCAATGACTAGGATTATGGGGGAATCCTCAGAGATCAGATCTGAGGATATATAAGGGTTTACCCTACCCTATATATACTATCAAGAAAAGAAAGCAAAGGAAGCAAGCCACACATGGCTATGCCTGTACAGTACTTACAGTGCAACTCACACTACCTATATGCACTATTCACAGTGTGCATCCATCCATGCAATTTACTAAGTATGGAAGTGGGTGCTAATGGAGTTATAGCCCCATATTGAGATGCATTTCTGGGGTCAGATTAAGGATGCACACAGTATTGAGCATTTTGCAAGGTGATTCACATCTATTTGCAGGATAAGAATCACACATCCCCTGACAGATCATGAAGTATATCATCACACCAGGGCTCATAGGTTTCTAGTGCCTCTGATATGATTAGGCATGGGTCTGCATGTGGGGCAGCAAGCCAGTCACATTGGGAAGCTGACCATTCATGTCCATCCTCCTGAGCAATGGGAGGGACCGGTGAGGGTACCATGCACTCCATGTTATCTTTGAATTGATACTCTATCTCAGCTACAAACCCCCACCCTGGCCTGACTTCCTCTTGATCACTTTCAGTTTTATCTTCATTATTCCTACTTGTGGTATCACTGCCATCTTGATAGTACTTGCAATGCCTATAATCAGCACATTTGCTTGGCAGGGCACACCACTGGCTGGGTGCTGCACAGATCTTGGGCATGGATGCAGGCTGGGGAAATAGTCCAATGCTTGCCTGATATTTCTGTTTTTTTCTCAGATCCCTGCAGATGTTTTGTAGCATCTGGCAGGTGAGAATAGTGCCATTCGTGAACTCAACCATGGGTCTTGTTTTTGACATGGCCTCATCTGCATCAAAGTTGATCAGTGAAAGGCTGCATCTGTTCTATTTTCAAAGACATACCTGGAGTTATCTTCACCACATTTATTTTATGCAGCCAGAAATCCTTAGCCAACCAGATGAGAGGATTGATACTTTGTTCATATATGTGAACATATCAGTGTTGTGCTGCACCAATGTATGCCCATGTTTATAGTCCCAAACCATCAATATTTTAGGTTCAGCAGCATCCTTTCCCCAGAGCTCCAGTGTGTCACTTGGATGCAGAACTTTGTAAAACCACAAACACATGTGGCACTCCATTATAATCAAAACATCAGGTCTGTGGTCATCAGAGAACACTGTCTCTGCCAGTACCATGATATTCTATTAACAGTTATCAGGAGATGGGACATACCACATTTGAGCATACTTCAGAGTCACAGGTATAGTCAGTCATATGCTTTCAAGGGAATGGCAGGCAGGCGAGGATGGCTTGTGTCAAGCTTGTTGCCACAGGAATGTTCTCCTCAATTAATCTTATGGTGCTGGGCTCATCTAGATGGGTGCAGTCCTCTGAGGAACATGAATTGAGAAGTTGGGGTTGGTCCCCCATTGAATACCAAAGTGCAAGCAAGGAACATTAATTGAGACATTATTGGGGGTGGTAGGGTCAGTCCTCTGAGTGGCATCTCTGCCCACATCTATTCACATATCCCCATTTACTGTGCATCATAATTTTCACACACTGAGCTGATGTTAAACAGAAGCATTTTATTAGCCATGATTCTGGATGGTCTAGAGCACACTCATTAGTCATTCCAGGTAAGAATTCACATGCTGGCATTGTGCATCCTCTATGCCCATGCACCCCACATCACTCACACACCAGGGGTCAATCTACTAGTACTTACATGCCATCTTCTGCTTGACTGAGATGAGATGTGGAATCATGGGGAATGCTGGAAAATGGGGTGTGAAACACATTTATTGGCAGATGGTGGACTCCCTGATTGGGATGCACCTGGCCCTGGAGATATCTGAGGAAAGTGGAGCAAACACACTATTAGTCAGCTGAAGCAAGTATATAGCTTATGGGAGTGAACACAGATAGGTAGATGGAAACCAAATTAAGGAGTGCTGATAGCAGACACAACATCAAACATAATGAGGGTGCAGTTACATTATGCATGCAAGCAAAGGGGAAAGTGTTGAGCCTGTGTATTCTCAAATGCAGGAAGCACTGCATGACACACATCCCTTCCCACAATCTTCATCAGAAGAAGACAGATATCCTAGGGCAACTACTCCCCCCCTGGAGGGGCATACCCTTAAGCACTCACTCCTAAAGATCCCTTTGCTTTGGCAGCTCCCTCAATGAGCAGAGACCTACAAATATGGTCAGTCCATCCAGGGGATAGCCACTCTGCATTCCCACTCTTCTGGGGCAACATCATGAGTCATCCATGCACATCAAGTACCACCAACTAATTCTCTCAGACTCTAGCCAAACACTGAAGCATACACCTCATCAACCCCACCTGAATGCTATCAAATATGGGCAACCTATCAGGTAAAGTAAGTCTACTGAGATTATACTGATCAGGAATCACTCTGATCTGATGTTGAGGCCCAAGAGCCAGCCATTGCAGTACCAGTGAAGGAAGAAGTGGTCCTGCCCACTCTCATGTCAGTGGTTCAGAAAGCCAAACCAATGACCTCAAAGTCCAGTGCATTGTGCATGGCTCATCAGGTGTCATCAACAAGCACTGTGTTTGTGATCAAAATGCTTGCCAGTCCTCACAAAGGCCAAATAAGAAAATTCATGCCAATGTCTACACAAGTTTGACTACAGATTGCTTCCTATTTCATAATTCTTCTACTTCCAAACAATGTACTCATTCTAGGAGTGGGAAAGAGAATACTACATGGACTACTCAGAAGACTTTTCCATTGTGACAAAGTTGCCAATTCCTTCAAGTATCACTTGATAGGCTGCAAGGATAACCTGCTGGTGATTCAGAAGAGTGGGAATGAACAAGGAAATTGACTGTTTGATCAGGAACTATGCCCTATCCAAGACACTCTCATTCTTCACTCCCAGGGCCTGAGCAAATTTCAGGTGCTGATTAAGAACCCCAAGGAAACCAGACTTGTTGCTCAGGACAATGTGTGCTGCCACTACAATGTGGGATGTGATTGAGTGAGTTTGAATAGGTTGATGTGAGGTCAATGTTGATTGCTTCATCACACTGGGTATCATGTGTATTATTTCATTTTGGCACCCTGTCAGCTCATTGGGCAGACCAGCAAACTGGTCAATGTTCAAGTGCAAACAATTGTTCATGGCAGTACCACCAGGTGCAAGGGATGAGGTGCAAGGTGGTTGGTCTTTTGTGACTTCTTCAAAACAACCAGAGTGGAGATTTTTGAATGTGGAGCTATTTGTAGATAAGCACCAGATGGATTCATCAGTAGAAATGCCATAGAGACATTGGAGCAGGATTGCCATGATGATGGAGAGAATGAGCAATATTATTGGCCACCAGAGGCTTCTTTAGAGTCATTAGATAGTGTCAGATTGTGTGGCATGAAAGAACATACTCTTGCCATGGCATTTCTGCTTGCCAGCCAAGGCCAAAGAGTGAGCCAATACCTGCCAAAGAATGGGAGGTAAGGCTCTCATGTGGTGCAGCCTTTGGAAGTATGAGCTCATCCTTCATCGCTTCCATGAGCACAGCCTCAATTGGTTCTTGACTCAAGATGATGTAGTTTGGCATTGAGATTTCTAAGCCTTCCATGTGGAGGGAGGCAGCAACCACATTGGTATGCCATTGCAGTACTGAGGCACACCCAGTGAGAAAGCCATGCTGTTTGGCACAATTCACATTGATTGTGACAGACCAACAATGAGGCATGGTTGTGCAAGCCTTTTGGCTACCGAGAAAGAGGTGGTGTGTAGTGATGGCTCCATCAAATACAGAGTATAAACCTGACCATGCAATGGACTGACCATCCTGGAGACCTCCTGATGGATTGTTGAGAACCATCATCAGTGATCACCACTTTGCAGCAGACATGACCCAATTCACCTTTCCACTAGCTAAACTAGGTCATAGGCCCACACTCCTGCAACAGCAAACATGTTCTCTACTTCCTTGTTGGACAAATAGAAGGTCTCAACTGCATCTTCCAGGGGCCCACGTTAGTGGAAGTGTACCAGCCAAAGCACTTCAAGTAAGCACATGATCACAGAGTACAGTGTCCACCTTGTGATGTTCATGAAGGCATCATCTTCTAGAATGAAGCTGTGATGCCTGCATTTGGCAGGCTTTGGGTTTGGCACTTCAGATGGTAGTGAATGGACTGAAATCCAGTCCAAAGATGCATCAATGGATGGGTCACCCTGCTTTCTGCAAAATCCACATATGGTAGGGAATATTAAGTCTTCATTGTCACTGCCATTGCCAAGCTTTGCCTCCTCTGACATGCTGGCTGGGTGTCCTTGACTGCCGCAAGCTGCCTTGGATCATGAAGCAAGTGCATTTCCTGAATCTTGAGGATTACAGTAATTCATGGGACCACCCTCAGACAGATCTAACATCATTATATCTTTGCTCTGGCAAGTGAAGTTGGCCAGTGAGAATGCCGAGCTGGCAGTCAATGTTGGTGGCATTGCCGGATGTTCAATCTGGCTGTTGATATGCTTGGCATGCAAGGTACTACCTTCATTGAGACTTCAAGTGGTATCAATACAATATAACTGTGTGGGGAGAAGTAGAGGACAGGGAGACAGAGGTAGTAGAGCCCAGTTTTGGTGGAATAAAAGCAGGTCTCCATGAAGTGCCTCTGCCAGTTGAAG